CGTAGTCATATGTTAATAGGTAATCTGAATTCATAGACCAAGAGGTATACACGTCAGATTGCTGGTTGAACTTGGACCAACAGCAATTTCCATGCCTGGAAGATCGAGCTATCTGCGCAATAAAATTACGGCAAATATTGACGGCACTTTACACACATAGTCAATAATATTACGCGCGCGCGGGCTCGCACGTTCAGCCGACGTAGTAGGGCGCGCACGGCAATCGAGAATGAGATAGAGGCTAGCTTTAATCCCAACGGAGGCCCAGAGTGCCGCAGAGATTGGAGTGTCGAGCACGATCACCTGAAATTTACGGATGGCTCTCGCCCAAACTTAATCAGACAGTAAGCTCGCCTGCACTTTACAAATTTTGTTATTGCCCAAGCCTTTCATACCAGTACCGACAATTTATTTATTTATTTTTTCGACAATCTTAGTCTTAATGGATTAGGCTGAAATTAAATAAGGAATTCGTTCTTCTTTAAGTTTACGTCTGATTTCATATCTCGTCATATTGATATTGATTTAGTGAATAATTCACTCCAAACATCAACGTCAGGCCATTAATTTAAACGCTAATCGTGTGTTGCACTAACCAACGGATACATTAATTAAATCATATCTATTTGCCGTATACTATTATGAGTAACGATGATGCACTATCGAGCAAACCTATTATAATTGATTAGCTAGTGATTTTATTGAATGCCTTCGCGTTAATCATTACATACGTACATATCATATGATTAATTATAATCCCATCAATTTATTGCATAAATCGATTGTTATTTAAAATATTTATTAGCCAAAGGAGACTAAACGCTTCGGATTGCGGAGTTTATTCAAATTTCGTCAGTGGATTCTATCCTATCACCCTTTGATCGGAAAATATTGGGCCTTACATCTGATCCTCCTTTTTTTATTCCTTCCTTTAAAAAATGATGGACACGATTTCGTCGCCGACATCCAGCGTCGTGATTGGTCGAGCCTTCAAAAAGTGCGAAGTTCAAAAGATTTTTACTTTATAGTGTATGAATGATCAAATTTTTTTTTTTAATAAAAAACAAAAATTATATCATTCAGATGGATAATTTATGATGTAAAAATGAAAGAATGACATGAAATCGATGTAATTTATTTATTTTATTTTTATAATGTTAAAAAAATGATGAGTCACCGACATCCAGCGTTGTGATTGGTTGATGCTAAAAAGAGCGCGAAATTTCATATTTTCCTATACTGTGAAATATTATTATTATAAATTTAGGAGTGTTAGATTTATATTTCACCAGTAAATAATGTAATAAATAACAGAAAAACAAAAAAAGAGCGCGCGAGGCGTACTAACTAACGCTGGGATATTAAAAAATATAATTATTCTTGACTATTGAGATATTAATTCTATTATAATTTTAGGGTCATCATTACAAAGCTGAGATCATATCATTCGTTTTCAAAAATAAAACTAATAATCATTTCTAGTGTTTTGTTACTACGAAATTTTATTATATTTATTTAAAAGGACTTCTACTTTTTTATACATCAAGCCACTAACCAAGTTTGTACAAACTTTTATAAGTATCACCGACTATCTTGAGTTGATAGAGGAATGTTCCTAAACTTTAAAGTTGATAGAGGGATGTTCCTAAAGCTTTAATCTTTCAAAATAATAATTTTAAAGTTTTTAGTTCTTTTTATTAAATTTTTTTCACATGGAAATATTTTTCTGACAAAAAATACAAATATACAAAAATAACTGTTTTCGTATAAAGATTTTTTTTTTCATCCCTCTGTCGAAAGTACGCGATTTCATAGTTTGTTTATACGCTAGAAGAACAAGCACTTTTATCCATTACACGATTGGTGTCATTTATTTTATCGCGATTAATAGCTATGTTTCGAACAGTCTAGACTTCGAAGCATTATTTGTTGCTGCTCGTAATAATCCAATAGAGTATTACGAAAACAAATCACACCAAAATTACATTCTGAAGCTTCTCTAAATTTTTCTTCAAAACTATTTATCAAGATTCTCTTCAATGGCACTTTCGTTCAATCGCCCATTAAAAACGAGAAAATAAATCCTATTAAATCTACAGATATATAAGGGATTCCAGGCAATAACTTGTTACGGAATATGGAAAATTCAAAATTAATACAATGAACTGGCTAGAAAGTTCATGTATTAAATAAAAATACTGTCCTCTCAATGATAACATTATGAATTATTTGTATTCGTATGAAAATTGTAAAAAATAAATAATAATATAATAGTAATATTTAACCTTATATCGTATACTGTTTCTGTTTTTCACAAAATACTCAACTAGTTTTTCTGCTAAAGAATCGTTTATTTAAAAATATCATGTGCAATCTGCTTACCTATGTACTGCGCTCGTACCACTGATTGAGATGGGATCAAAAGCATTTAAACGCGCATAATCGAAAAAATTGACGGAATAGCAAGCTAACCTACAATTACTGTATGAAGTGCTCGCGAGGACGTACACACTATCAGAATATATAGACAGATTGATATCAACGGGATCGTGAACAATAGTGATTTTGGACTTTTTTCAACGTATTTTCGTTCAGGTACAAACAGAGAAAACACGAGGGGGAATCTATTACGGTTTTTTACTGGCATGGCTGTAACAAATACTGTTCAATGTGCTCACAATATTAGAAAAATATATTTGCATTTAAATTTACTTCATATTTTCTATTTAAAAAGTAAGCAAATGTTTTCAACATTTATCAACATAAATTCCCGTAGTTTTGATAATTTTATTAAACTGAAGATGTAAATTTAATTGCAACAATGCGATAGAAAAAATGATTTGGTAGATTAACATTTTGCGAGGGCAAAAAGTACGAGATGTGAAATAGTAGTGAAATAGAAAGGAACGAAGAAAGACTGCAAAACAGTGAGGGGAAAAATGGGGCAGTGAGTTACGCGCAAGAGGTGGAGAGAGCGACTGCAGACGAGAGAATGGAAAAGTATGAGGGAGCGGAACAACGAGAATGTAAAGAAAGAAGCTGGTAGGTGAAACTTGGACGCGCACCGGAAGTCTCGAGTCGCGGCACATGAATCAATGTTTCCAGCGTATTTTCCTCAGAGACGCACAACAAAGAAAAGTGGTAAATTACACTACGCTACAACCAGACGCACTGCCTTTTTTATTGTTTTATCAAAATTGAACAGACCAGTATTGGATGAGTTTTCGATACTTTATTCCTGCTTTTTCTCGCATTTTACCTTTATTGCTCTACATTTCCAATCTTTCGGGTGTTAATTTGACCGTCGATCAATATATTATTGGCAAAGTGTCATCTGCAAACTAAATTTACTTGGTTTTATAATAATCGTTAATGCGATCGAATTCCGTATTCGTTGTTGAATAAATGTTCCACGATGACAAAAATGGACATCTATTCACTTATAAGGTACATGAGAATACACGAAATACGAAAAACGAATAGTCACTACTGTAGGATGGAAGGTGTGATTTCTGCAAGGATTTGAAAACGTAGGAATATACAGTGTACCGAGGGAGATAGCGAGAGACTGAAACTGGTTGGATTCGAATAAAATCGGCAACACTGGGCCTAACTAGTTTCTCACGTCGAGACGCGCATCGTAAACCGTTTCCGTGCCACGAAAATCCCCCAAAGATGTTACACTTCTCAAGATTCTGACGTCGCTTCCCAAGAGGAGACTAGACAGCCACACTGGCGGAGCTGAGAGGGAATTTCATGTCATTTGTGTAATCCAAGCTTATTGTGGATATTCAATTTAGTCTCACGAAAGAAATACAAGAAACTCCCGACCGATTAATTATTTTTTAATGGATGGGAATCACATATAGCTGCAGCCGATGAGTTCGATCGAGTTTGTAAAAAAAAAAATGGTTCAACAAATTAATTGACGTTTATAATATCAAAGCTTATTGTCGTTGGAATAACGATCTAATTTAACTAGAATATACCTATGGCAGTGGAAAAGTGCACTTGAGTTTCTTTATGTTCGCGATAAGAGTAGTGAGAATAAAAAAAATTATTACAAAATTATATCTAATTTATTATTATGACAAAAAATTATTAGTATTTATTAATTATAAATAAACAAATGAAATCAAATCGTAAAAACGAATAATATTTTTAGACGATCGGAAATTATAAGTGCGCTTGAATCGAGTTAATAACGAAAGGACAACTTGCCTCGCTGATAGCCAAGAACTTTCTGACTAATACTTGAATGATGCTTGCCGAACGAGCCGAGAAACCAAAGCATTATTCTCCTCCATCCTTTTCTTCCCCTCAAAGGGATCTAGAGGTGGAAGGCGTCAGTTTTCATTTTTAGCTAATTGTACGGTTCTCCTTCCGATCAAATTCTACTCTATGTTTGTTATATTCTGCATAGTTTTAATCGCTCGCTTTACAATAATTTTCGCCAATAAAAGTATGATTGCGCTCACTCATTCAGCTTATGTCTAGGTGATTAATACTACGAAGGTTACAAGTTATAATCGTAGTGAAAACGTGAAACGGTTTAAAATTAAGCCAAACTTAAATAAATGGTCGGCATAAAAAACCTCGCCGTCTGAGAGGAAAAAGCCTGCCATTTTACAAGCCAAACTTAGTCTAAAAAAGGCGCAGAGACAATATTAAAAGATGGCATAATCGCGTACATTTCGTTGCAATTTATTTTTCTTCTCCGAAGAATTTTTCGAATGTCGGCTCGGCGACACTTGATTGTACGGTCGTAGATTCGAGAGCGAAGGCTTTATCGGATTTTGTATGCGTATACAAGTTGTATCGTATATCGGCTATGAATTATGGAACAAAGAGAAAAATTTGAAATAGAAACACTATGAAAATTAAGACTTTCAGGCACACGTCATCGTCAGCACGAGTTTCGATTTTGACACAAGTATCTTGATTTCGTTGCAAGCAAACCAGGTTAAATTATACTCGGTCGTACGGAACACTTTACTTACTTGGATCTTTGACAGCAGTAATAACGAGCCGGAAACCATTAGCGTCCGTGCCCCAGTCGTCTGTGACGTATTTCAAAGTAACAAAATTCGTGTGCGTGTAGATGGCTCCCACACTTTCTAGCGTGTTTCTGCACGTCAGATCCGCCTGTAAAGTCAAACAGAAGTTCTCCTTTCAGTCAAAGATTCTGCAACTTCTCTCTGAGATATATTCATTGTGACTGTGCATGATTATATCTCAAGAATAACGAGTTTACGGCAATTTAACAATTTTCAAAGTAGTACTTTCTTGCTTGAAAATTGGAAAAGGAAAATAACTTGTAACTCAGGCAAAAAATTAACATTGTCACAGTGCTTATCAGATTTGGCTAATGAGTTTACAGTTATTCTCCTGTTCGATCAGTCAATAAGTCGACGCATTATCAGACAAGGTATAATGAGTAAAATTTTTATTTCCAACCGATAGAGTGGAAACGATTAAAGGTGTTTAATAGGATGTCGAGTGAATGGTAAGTGTCGGCATAATTGAATGCACATTAGTAAATCTCGCTAACAGAGAAACATCCAAAAGTAGTAGCAGCACCAGCAGCTTAGCGCAAATACACGCATGGATAACTCTTTACCTCGTATAATTTATGCAGCGACTTCTGCTCGCGAGAGCGCTTTCTTGTTCGCTTTGCATTTTATTCTTTTATTGCTCTCTCCCTATCTCTATTCCTCTCTCTATCTCTCTTTCACGCGCGCACGAGCCACGTTATTCCATATTCTCTGTATTCCTTCTCTGCTGGGCGTGTTACACTGTAGCGTGTAAGCTGCACGACTGATAATAAGCGCTTCGTCCTTTCCATTCCAGTTAACTGCTAAAAACGACTCTATCTGCCTACACAAATCATCCATATTTAATAATCCACTCGTTTTTCATGTCACAGTTGCTACAGCTACAAATTTTCCCTTTAACTTTGTTTTACCCGCTCATTCCATTTCTACAGTGAGTTATTTAATCCGGCTGCGGCGTCTCGCGACAAGTAACTAATTATCCACCAAGTTTTCAGATATATTTTCGTAGTTTTATCGTCTAACTTTGTTGTTACCGAAGGAAAATCGTATTTGTCAAAGAGACTGACCATCGACAACTTTCGATAAATCATTATCGAGACGTTGAAGAGTGTTCAAAGAATAGCATCGAGTCTATAACGTTGAAGCAACACAAAGGCCAAATTAATTTTGAGCAAAGCCTCCTGCTAAATAAAGCAGACGATCCGGCAAATTCACGGTCCAATGATTTTTTTAGTTGGACGCTCGTGGCCGTGTGCGTGCAAGCTCCCTCTATAGCCTAGGCTTTCGCTTCCATCTCCCCCCTCCCCCTTTTCCGGCGTCTTTTATCTAACCAGCCGCGCTCGCTGGTTCACCACTCGATGCACGTCGCTGGTTTATTGTGATTGGCAAGAATAATGCATTCTCCTGTGTGCACCTTAACTTAACCGAGTATTCACCTCGTAAGTTTTCAAATATGCAAGCTCCGCGGATAGGTTACTTTGCTGCGAGTTTTATGGTCAAAATAAGCAACGTTCGCGGAGAAAAAAAAACGTTACCCGTTATTCGACGTTTCATCGACATTTTCATTCCTATTATAAGCATCGCTCATTTTTTCATGCCTCGTTTGGGTATTTAAATATCTATCACGCAAGTTATTCACAATCGAAATGACATTCGGTAGCGAGACGTATGGTAAACTCTCCGTAAACTCGCACGCCACAAGGAATATTGATACATACGTTTGAGCGGTTTTTCGTACTTAGAACTGGTTTGAAATTGTTGACAGGTTCGACTGTAAAATGGCAAGCGAGGCTGCTTTGATAGGCGTGTACGCTTCTTGAAGTGTAAATAAGGCAAGCTACACACCGACACGAGCAACGCGTCATCCTCTTAGCGTATGGCGTTGGCGCGCAAAGAATACCAGAGTAGTCGACACCAAGCAGTTTAGACAAGGTGGAAAAGGCAGGGCGAAGAGATGTCTGCGCGAGAGAGAGAGATAAAAAATGCGTACCCGAGATTAGATGCATCTTCCGGCTCCGCGAGCGCCCGCACTCATCTAATCTGCATTTACACGTTGCTGTTTTTGTTGTTTCTCTCTGGTAGCTAGAGCTAGAGTTGAGGAGATGAGGGGATAGGTGGGAGAGGCGGGAGGCGAACCACACTCTCGTCGAGTGTTCTTTCTGCCGGTCGGCAAGCAAGGACGTCTGGGATTGAAATGCGGGGACGCGAAGCTGATACTCGAGAATCTCAAAGCCAACATAAACTCAACTCATCGAGTCGATGGATCAACGAAATTAGTCTATCTACTTCGAGTGTGCGCGAGTTCGGTTTTGCTGGCGCTTTCAGCTTGAGGCGAGAATAATCAACGCTGAAAAAGAATAAATTGATACCCGTGCGATTGCGCGGAGTTATCCGTGAGTTTACTGCTAGGCCCTTTGCATATTTTACGAAGAGCAGTCGTGCCTGCTGGCGCTGTGCTGATACTGTTTTTATGAGAATGTATCGGGGTTTCTTGGCATTTCGTGGAATGTATAAGTCTGACTACAGCATTACTCGGACTACTTAGCTCTTACAGCCGCGACGTTTGAAAATCAATAATATCATTAGTTCCGGTTTTTCCGGTCTACTCCTGATGCATTATTCAAAATTGATATGTACGCTGTCGATTTCTCGGTTATGAAAAATCATTTCAAAGTATATTGTTGCACGGTAGTCAGTTATAGCGGCGAATGACCCGAATTGTATAGGTATATTAAAAAGCCATTCGAAAATTGATGATGAGAGCAGAGTGGCGAAACACATTGGCAAGCGGAAATCGCTCGTCAGTTTTGGGCAGCAAAGTAAACAAGCAAGGCGTATAGCGTCACGTTGCACAGCTACATGTCATTTTCCAGCAAAGTGAGCGCACGCGAACGGCAATTCGCTCATTGTTGGCTTGTGATAGGGTTGGTGGCGAGGCAGCGGCGGCGATGGCAAGTGCAGTTCAAGACAAGGTCGATGGCCGGAGCTGCTCGAGATGAATCAGCCCTTGGCAGCGCAGATCGATAACGGCCCACCTCGCTCCATTCTTGCCTACTGCCTTGTCGAGCGGCCGAGCAGCCGCCCGCCCCTGAGACGAACCACCTCGACGTCGACGTCCGCCAAACTTTCAATCGCAGCCAACACATTTCTAATTATCCACTTAACGCTTGTCAGACCGTTATTTCTCTCTTTTTCCTTTCTCCTTCTCTCTCGCTTTTTATTTTGTTTCATCGGCACTTGCGGAATTCACGTTCGGCCGTCGGGACGGAGAACCGACTTGCCACGCGTGCTCGCCGCTTATTGAATTCTAATCATGTACGCTTGAATCAAGCCCCAGCGACTCATTTGAATTCGGAATCGAAATCGCGACGGGGAATTGCGTTTCTCTGCGCGCGTTCGTTCTCTCCTCTTTTTTTTTACATTTTTGCTCGAGCTCTTTTTTTGATTGATCGCGATCGAATAATTGGATTTTTGTTCCCCAAAATCAGCGTAGTAGGGAAGACGACGTAAAACGACGCTTTACTTTCCCAGCTAAAATAATTGCAAATTTCTGACTTAGTTGGCTGCTGTCAAGCGTAATCAATACGCAATGGTATCAATAAATGCATCATCGGACAAGCTCGACTAATCGCTAACTTGTTATTAGAAAAAAATTTTCAACGCCAAATTTACGTTGAATGTTTCACTACTGGGGAGTACTTTATTTTAATTAAGTTCTTGAAGGTTTGTACTGACTCTGCATTAGTTTATGCCCTTTTGTAAGCTGTTTTATCGCCATGTCATTTTTTCTAACGTTACGTTTTACGTTAATGTAGTTCTTTCGATTAGATACATCATACTTGTATATTTAAATTTGAAATGTTAACTTGAATATATTTGTAATAGCTAAAATTTGCGCGTGATATATTCAATCAAACAGTCTCAACTTTCATGTAACGGGAAATTTGAACTTTGACTGTATATTACCTAATAGATAATGGATTTAAAGACGTGCCCTTGATTTACATGGTCGTTCTGAAAGGCTTATACGCGTTATTAAGTGTAGTATTTAGTTAAATAATTGTGCACATCAAGCGCGATGCGTCAAGGTATAATGAAGCTACGCTTTCTAGCTGGTATCGCGATAAATCACTGATTAACCGTAGCTTTGAAAATACAGCTGAATAAATTTTCACGAGAAAGAATTTGTCGATGATTCCTTTTCCTTTTCCTTGAAAATCGTCTGTGGTAGGTATTTACAATGTATCGCCGATAAATGTTTTTGTTTGTACGTACAAGGCTGTTTTCGGTAGTGTAGACATTGGCGGCGAAGCACTGATTTTTCATAGCTTGCGTGTATCAGCAGCACAGCGCAGGCAGGCTTGCCGGAGGTTGAGTTCGGGCTGAACTTGTGTAAACGCATACGAAATCGGTTTCGTGCTTCAGACGGCGGCAGCGGACGGCCGAAAAAGAAGCTTCCCCGCGTTTATCATAATTGCATCTGGCTTCGATCCGGCGCCCGCTAGAAACTCGATATGGGGCGAAAGGGGCTGGAAAGGGGATAGAATGCCGAGATCGCAAATTAGTATTCCCGGGTGGTTCGCGTGAATTATGTGGACTCGCGAGGGAGCATTAGCGCGTGAGCTTTTGTTTTATTTGCCGTCGAAGTGATGCATACGCGCGATGTCAGTGCCCAACCCCGCTGCCCCTTCCCGCCGTTCGCTGGTGCGCCAGGGACCGAACAATAATTTCGCCGCGCGCGACAGGAAGAATATAGCGGCAGCGCGCTCTCTGCATACGCTCGTCTCGTCCCATTATGTGTATACTAGGCGAGCCAGCCGCTATGCGTCTCTGTGTACGAACGCGCGCGCCTATGTGTGTGCATACATTGTGAAGGCTACGCGCAAGCTTTTCTTTTGGAGGGCTGCCTCGACGGGTGTCTGGCGTATTTGCACCGGGTACTCACGGCTGCTCTACTTATGGCTTTTTTCGAGATGTGTACTTTTGCTTTTTCGCCCTCGTTAGCTACCCCGAGACCTGGCTTCATTCTAGCCAAAATATTATTTAATCCTACAATTGCACGGCAGTCACTTAGTCGTTGGCTTGTGTCGCCCTGCAATTATTATTGTTACTCAACGTTCCTGCTTATTTTTCCTCGGTATCCAGTTTTATTTTTAATAGCGAGGCTTTATTAAATTTATACGACAATTTCAACAACGCTTATGTACGCGCGCACGAGCAGCTTCATCGGTCAATTAGTTTGTTGTTACCAGACTACGATAGTCGGATACTACCAATCACATTTCAAATGTAAAATAATCATTTGTGGCTCTAATGAAAACATGATTACTACGGTTAGTACACCGTGCCAATAAAATATTTTTAGTATCCACATTAATAATCTGAGTTGAAGGGGTCGGATTCAATTTTATATCTAGTGAATTTTCATTAACGCTTCTAGAGCTAAGTAAATTCTTTCCAACTTGTTTGAAAAAGCCAAGAAGAGATAAGTTAGTTGAAAGTTACAAAAGATACTGTCACCTGAACTCGTGCTGGAATGCTATAAAAACTTGAGTAATTGCAGATTTGCGCAAGTTTGGTCTCAATCATTGAAGTAAATAACGAGTTGAGTTGGAGTTTAGCCGGTGAGCGTGAGAAATTCAACGCCGACAGCAGTAGCAGTGCAAAGAAGGCTATACTGTGGCGAGTATACGCGTAGATAAGTGGCTTATAGCTCGAGTAGACGAAGAGAGGTGAAAATTGACAGGTCCGTGTAAAAAGGCAGCTACGGGGCGGCAAACTGGTCATCAGTTATTCATCAAAAGTCAGCAGCAGCGTCGCACGGCGTAAAATAGCATTTAACCGACTGTAGCGGCACGAGCGATGGAGGCGCGAAATGAACTTGCGACTAAAAAATTACCCGGTTATAAAGATTCTCTCTCGGCCAGATAAGCGGAGTGGGAAAAAGAAGAAGACGGGTATAGGGAGGGAGCAGCTAGGCTCGCGTCGCCTGTGTGTGCGCGCGTGCCATCGGAACTCCACGGGCCGAGAAATGAAGGAAGAGCTCGGCGGAGCTTCTTTAATCTCACTCGGAGCGTGTAATTAGTCGGGCTGCTGCTGCTGCTGCTAGCGAACGCCTACTATACACCGTGCTACCCGAATGTGCTGCTGCTGCTGTTCGGCGCTGATGAATGGAATGCGCCGCGGGCTGAATCTTCGCCCCGCGTGCCGCCGCGTTTCCGCCGAAAAGTTTCTCGCGCGCGATATTGCAACTGACGAGGTGGATAGCTGGTGCACGGCTAAGTAAACTGCTACAGCCGCAACTGTAATTACACGCACGCGCCGCCGCATTTCCCTCGCCGCGTCGATACATGCACGCGACGTACGCGAGAGGCTGTCGCCGCCGCGCCTACCGATGTCGCCTACCTCGTCGCGGGGATTACAATCGCGCCCGACTCGACTCCGAGCCGAGCTTGCAAGCTCTCTCGGTGAAATTGCGGCCGCGACTGATGGCACAACTGGAGCGATCGATACGGCAGCAGCGGCAGATGTAATCCACCGGCAGAGTCGAACTTTTAGGCGAAAAACCGAGCCCGAATAGCGCAAGCCCCGGCCAGGGTGAAGAGGTGAAAAGAAGATGAACGAGCGTTGTGTGGGTAATTTTTCAAGAGAGCCGCTGTATTACAGAAGTCGACGTAATTAAAACAATAATTCTCGGGTGGAGCGATCAATGTTCTGTAATTGCACTTTCCAAGTATGGCTTATATCCCGAGCGGTTTGGCGAGAGCTACGAGCTTGTTTATACCGCCAGAGTACAAATATACACACACACACACACACACACACACACACACACACACGTATAACTTGAGCCGTTAGCCCAAACTCAATGTCTCGCAGTGGATGTGTCACGTCCGCGTCGTCGAGCGACAAAGACACTAGCCGGCGCGCTCGGCAGCGACTTTGGCTGCAAAAAAGTACCGAGTTATTTGCAGCTACACGCGAAACTTTTCTGCCCGACTGTGGCTCGCCTCGCGGGACACGCCGAACGTCGTATACCTCGCAGCGCTGCTGCCTACAGATTTGGGAACAGCGACGAGCGCTTTCCGTCAGTCCCTCTCTTTCAACACGATTTCCCACCAATCTCTTTTCGCCAAGCTCTTCGTTACCGTTCGGCGAGAGGACTTACGTTATTGCGTAAACTTGCTAAACAGCCTGAGGCTCTATCTTATATTCGAGATCGTGAAAAAGCTCGCGAACAATTGCTGGCCCGATAAAGCCTTTCGATCATCTCTCTGACCCCCCGACAATGCAATAGTCCTATATCCGTTCATTTGAGATAAAAAATGCGAAGCCAACAAACGTCTATTTTGAAAAACTATCGATCGATCATTGGCATAGTGAACGTGCATTATTTCACGCGAAAAATAGGTCATCGTCGACAGCCTTCTTGACACATTTAGATGCGGCAGCAACGAGTCAGTGATCACACAGTAATATCAATGATCAGACCAATGAGAAGTCCGCGATGAATCAGGAAACATTTTGTTTAATTAATTCCAAGGCGTTTTTATTGTCGTCCGGCAACGCGCTATTTTATCACTCGCAGCTTTTTACGGGACTAGAGTCGACGCAATTATGGGATTCCAAGTGGTAATGGCCAGTGGTACTAAAGGAATACAAGGAAGCACGTGCGCGCGGACGCGCGAAAGTACCATTGTAAAATCAGGCGTAGGCGAAGGTATGCACATTGAAGCTTATGTTATATGCCGGCGCGTGCTTGTTTGGAAGGGCGCGGAGTGCAGCAGAGAAGAAAAAAAAAATACACTGCAATAAAGGCACGCTTAACGGCCCATTACGCAGACCATAAAAAAGATTAAAGTTAACCCGGCATTACGCAAAACTCGTTGGCAGATACTGTCCGCCTACGTGTAGCCGCTCGCGGATCTTCCTTTTTATTTAGCGTCTTTTTTTCTTTTGTTTTTTAGCGCTACCCCTCGCTCTTATTTTCCTTGTCTTTCTCCCCTACCTTTTGCTTTCCTTAGTAGGCTGCAAGCACTTCGGAATATATACCTCCATACGTATTTTTTTTCTTTTTCTCTTTTTTTATAATTATAGCCTTCCCTTTTTTTTCCGCCGTTGGGACTTTACCGCGATATATATGTACTGTTAATTACGTCGTCGGCATGTTATTGCAACGACTGTATATACTTCAAAGGTTATGCGGCTTTAGTTTCAATGAATTTGATGAAGCTCGTATATAATGCACTTGCGGAATGTGATACTTGAGAGCAGAGAGTGTGCGAGCTGGCTATAGTGTGCCGTGAAAAATTAATTCCGCTACTTATAATCTGTGAGTTAAAATTTAATTTTGTGTCGTTATGATTCGTAAATTTTGTGTTGGGCACGGGATAATAAGTTAGACTTTTATAACGACGGAACCTGTTACTCGTAAAATATTTAACGACTCGCGGCAAAAAAAAAAAAGAAAAAACACGTCAAGCCAGTCGTTAGGCGATACGACTTGGGAAGATGTGGCGTAAGAAATAAAAAGTATACATGTAGATATTGAAAGGACAATGTTTTCGTTCGACCAAACATCTTAGCAAGGCAAAAAGCTGGAAAGAGATCGAGATAAAAGTTAATCTAGAGAGTCTAAATGATTATCTACACGAGCTGTTGATTGATGCGCATCCTTGCCCGAAATCAAGAGTGAGCTCGGACTGTAGAGCCAATAACATCGACGAGACAGTAATGTCCATTAATAACATAAAAAGCTGACTTCGAACCTAATCAATAACATGAAGCCGCAATCAATGTAACTTAAGAAGCTCTCGACATGACTGGAAATAACTTTATGGTTCGTAGCAGCTAAAAAAAAGAGAAGAGGAAGAGAAAGGCTGCAGTCTCGCCGGCTGTGTAAATTCTTTGTCTTAACTTATTACATCATCTTGGTATTCTGCGGGGAGCGAGGTAACATTTTTCGAGCCCCTCGAGACCAGAGAGAAAGTTTTGATACTCAAAGGAAAGAATGCAGCACGTAGTGCGCGCGCGCGAGAGTGAGAGATAGAGAGAGAGAGAGAGAGAGAGAGAGAGAGAGAGAGAGAGAGGGGTTGGGGGTGTAAAGGGAAAAATGAGGAAGCGAGAGGAAAACGATACTTGATTAATGGACCAACTTTCGAGTCTGCTCCTGCTCGGAATTTGTAATGTCGCGTCGCGTTAAAATTCGCGCGCTACTGCTATGGGCCCATTCGTTTCGAGCGGGGGTAAATCGCGAGGCGCAAGAAGGACAGAAAAGAATTGTCCGATTTCGCGCGGGCGTCGCTCAATTATCGGTCGTACGCTGATTAATGACGTTCGACGCCATGGTAATGGTTAATAAATGATCGCCTCTTTTTACCGGCTGAAGCTTCGTTCGCGAAGATTGCCTTTTAATTTTTATTCTCAATTAAGAGCGTCTGCCTGGAAATTACTGCGTCTTACCTATTTATTCGTGACAATAGACATACCAATTAAAAGCTATCAATTAGCCATTTGTTAAGCGCTAAAATTCTCGGTGAGCGTTTGACCATTGCGTTGTACATTTCTTTTCTCAGACACATTGCATCATTTTTTCATTTGCGATTATCGACGCGGTGTACAGAATATTGATCGCTCCACTTTTATGCGGTCTTATTTAAAAACTCTTATATTCTATTTAATTAAAATTACCGTGATTGAATTCCACTCGAAATAGACTTCAGTCATAACTCATCTGCCAATACGGTTCTAAGCTTCTAGAAGAATTATAATAGAAATTCTAAATCGCAATATTGATGGAGTACAAATAAAGTGAAATGTTTATGACAAAGTTTATTCATTTGAGAAAAAATTGGAGCTTCAATTATGCGTGTCGCATAAATCTTCGAACATTGTCAGCTGGATAAACGGGCTCGTATAACGTGCAAGAAAAGTCATCGAGTAGAGTTATACTAACCTTAAAGCTTCCCACGGAATGAGCTCCATCGTAGATGTAGAGGTGATCGTTGCAATCGAGTTGCAAACGATCGAACTTGAGCATGAATCGCTGGAGTATGCTGTGCGTCTGGAATGTGACTGCGCAGTCGAGGTTCCTCTCGTTCTGCGACGTGAGTACCGCCCCATCGATTTTCCTGTAGAGATCTCGCAAGAAGTGATTCTTGCAGAGGTCGCTTATCAGGTCTGAAACAAGCGCAAAATAATACGCTCGATTAATTGAAAGAACAAGGGAAGCAGCTCTTGCTCGCTAAAAAAAACATGGAAGAAAGAAAGACGTAATGAAATGGAAAAGCCACGCGGCTATGTATAGGAAGAGGGAGGGAAAACGCTCTCATTAAAAGCGCATTAGTGCGAGGTCTATTAACGGAAACGACGGCGATCGATCGCGTTCACCTGTCGGGCGCAGCTCTTTTGCGACAAACGAGGGGCTAACGCGAGCGAAAAACAAGCCAACAACGAGAATGCTCTCGCTTGATATACGAGTACGGCTAGCCGGGGCTAAATCGTCAGAGATATAACGCCATTCACGGGAACGGGTAGATGACGAGTGGGCATAATAGAATTTCAGTGCTATTTTTTTTTTCTTCGCTTCGATGGATCCGGACATATATGCCAGGTGAACGTTAAATAAATTACTCTTTGACGAGTATTTTCTTTTATTTGCAATTGCGGCCACTACATTTGAAAATAACATTAGCTTTGGGAATCGAAAAATTTATTGTGTGCGATCGGATAAAATTACAATAAAGTCATTTTATGGCATTTCAAGTTATATTTCTACTTTATCGATAGCAGAATTGCTTATTACATTAGAAGGAAGGCAAAAATTTAGTTCCTTCGCTTTGTAACATTGTTAAAATGTATCACGTTGAAACGTCGCGACTGCTGTTGCAAATTAGCAAAAGTTAACGCTCACAACATTTGTGGTAAATGGTCAGTCCGACGAGAAGACAAGACAATGCGAATATAATTAATAAAACTTTTCAAATTAGATAATCAGATGAAATTCTAGAAATTAGAGAGAGAGAAAGAGAAGAGAAGACAGGAGAGTTAGTTGGGTTTGCGATCAGTATGCCTGAGGGACGTTCGCAGAAACTGTTATTTGAATAGTTAACCAGCTAAATACTTAGTAACCATACTTAGAACCATTGTTACGAACTCGCTAACGTACGCGAAAATTGGAGGATTTAGCAGCTATTGGGCAATCATGTAATTTTGATCGATCACGCATTCACGCATACAAATACTTCTAACGTGAGAAGTACTCGAGACATTTTTCGAGTATGTGTCTTCTCATCCAATCAATGATACCTTCAATTCCGAATAATATTTGTAAAGCTAGTAGATTTAGCTCTATACTCTCCCGTATTTCGAGAGCAAAATATCAGCGAATGAAATGTATGATGTATGAGATAGGAAAAACTAATCACTCGGAATGCAACCGCATTCATCAAATACGAGCATGAGGCAACGTATCAGCAAAGCTAAAATGAGTTATCTCTGCTGGAAATTAATTAAAAAAAAAGAAAGAAAAAGAAGCGTAGACGCGGAGCGTCACGATCATATAGAAACCACATCTGTATACATCCGGACGATTTAAGCTTCGTCGCGTAATTAGCTATGCGCGCGCAGTGCGTGGGGAAACTGTTTAAAAGCTCACGACTTTCAAACAAGTCATTCATGAACTTTACCTCTCTTTCTCTCTCTCTCTCTCTCTCTCTCGTCGTTGCATGTGCACACACATGCATACACTCGAGAAAGAAGGGGGAAACTCTGTCACGTACGCATGCACGCTATAGACGTGGACCTTTGCTTGCGGGCTCTTAGCTGTCACGCGAGCGGTTATATGCAGTCGCATTCTTTTGTCGCCTGCTTTGAAAGAAAAACTGTTTCTCTCTCTCTATCTCTCTCTCTCTCTTTCTCTGCTTCCGACTGTGTTTTCGAGTGCACGGCTCGTCTTACAGCGCGAGTATTTTGTTGCTGACCAAAAAGAGAAAATCTTTTAGCACCGCAAGTATTAGTTTCAGATTGGAAATCCGCGCGAGAGGTATTTCAACAATGACGGAGTCGGGCACGTGAAGTTTTTTGCTTTTGTTGCATTTTATTTTTTCAAAACTTTCCGTAATCTAAAGTGATTTGAATAGCAAACTTCTCTTTCGACGCGACGTTGAAATATTCACAATGGAGCAGCGAGTTATAGTTACTTGATGTTACGGCTTTAGAATCAGTTTATTTGTCCTTCACAGCTATTTTTATGAGCTTCGAGCACAACGTGCATTGTAATCCGCTAAAAATATATAAAATATATGAATTGGAAGAGTGGAATGAGTATGAATTTGAAGGATTTCTCATAACGAAAGTAAGAAAATCCCAAAAAGCGATCCAATATAGGAGTTTAATGTGGTAGATAGAATAATGGGGGTCGATTACGGCATTGGCACTGCTGGCAGTCTCAGCGCAGGCAAGGAAAAGGGAAAGTGGTATCGCGTCTGTGCTCGAGATGACTGAACGCGAAAATGAGGGAGGTGGAGGAAAAGGGTCAACTGAAATTCGTGAGCGAGAGCGAGTGGACGGCCGCGCGCAATTAATGGCCGCGGTGCTCTGATGAGATGCGGGACTGGCAAAGTTGCAGAAAGCCTGAGCTCACCGTCAACTTCAATTGCGGGTTACGGATATTTTTAAAGTGCCCCGACCCGTTTCCCCGAACAACGAACTCTCGCCTTCGTTAATTATGCATCGAGCGCTGGCCCATCCTGATTATTACTCGCCGACGAGATTCTTTGTTCTTTTCTTTTCTCTTTTATTCCAACATATTTAACTGCAAATGAAATACGCGCTGCCGCCGAACTCACAAAGTGTATTCAAGTATTCATCAAAAGTTGGAGTAATTTATTCTGCCGGCGAATTTGAAATTACTGCTTATAATCCGATATCTGTGAATCGTAATAGACGCATCCGTGCTTGCAAGCTTTCAACTCTTTGCACAACAAATTCTGCCTGTGAAATACAATATCAGCAGCGCGTTCATTTTCCTTCGAAATAAGAAATTATTATCTCGTTTTCTCTCTCCGTCACAAGTCTGCAAAAGATAAGGTTAATAATGGAAAACTGTCCTTAGAACGCGTCTTACACATTAGAAATGCTTGACAAAAGTTGAGACTGCACGAACGAATTCTTTTATCAAAAGGAAATTAATAACGAAAAGCAAGACGTTTCGATCGCAGACAAGCCCCAACGAACTTTGAAAAATGGTAATTGAGAAGCGGAAACACTTTTGCAGAAAGCTGCGCGCATATATACGCGGATAAAACGTCCAAAAGAACGAACCCATTTGAAATGCAACAATCGAGTTGATTTCAGCACAGAGCAGCCGACTGAAAAATAAATCTACAATTGCGCGTGACGTACAAATGGAGTGGCAAATAGGCGAGAAAGTGTAGTTTTGACGGGTGCGTTATTCATGCGAGCGCGAGGCGTGGAGGTACGTATAATATGGGCGAGTGTGCGTCGCATAACGTATATCGGCAAGTGGCAAGTGCCGACGTTAAACGGAGAGAGCGCGCGTGTACACGCGGATGAGCGATCGGGCATCTTATCGGGCGAGCGATCATGTGACGAGTACGTGAGCGGGCCTAAGTGAAGCGTCACTTTGCGATTCTGCACTCGTCCGCGCGACGACGACGCCCGCGGGCCCGACAATTTTATTCCGCCAAGCGCAGCAGCTTTCCCCACTTCCGTCGCCTGCCTCCCCCCGCCCCTCCTCTGCTTATTCATTTAGGCGGAATATTTATGGCTTCCGCGCCAGATTTACCCGCGACAAGAAGGATCTCTTTCTCCGCGGAGCTGCCAGCTGTATATGCCTTTTTATCCGTCAGTCGCGGAGTTTCGACTGCTTCTCATTTTGCCGGCCTCGCTCGACGCGCGATGATGTCGTACGTGCCTTTGACGCGACACGGCTACCCGGATTCCAAGACGTGGACCCAGACCGTTCAATTTCCTCCTCATTATCTATACCTATGTCGGTGCTATTATTCGCGTCGCCATCACCGCCCTCCTTCGCTCGCGCCATGTATATTGCGAGGAGCCTTTGAGCGAACCGTGTCCTCCCCTCTCTCCTCTCCTACCCTTCTCGTCGACTTTTGTTCCGATGAAAGGCTATCCTTCTCTCGCGTAATCCTTAATCTCCTCTTATCCTTTTTCTTCGGCCGCTTCCGTCGCCGCGCTTCCATTGTACTTTTAAAACCGAGGCGCGACTCTTTTGGGCTTTCGGGGTTGAACGGTTTCTCGACAGTAATTATGCAACCCAGATTTTTCAGTGTGTTTTTACGATCTGGCCTATAGTGATTCGAAAGTACTTATCGGCATCCTGCTCCTCGTATTTCTAACTTTACTTTCAATCGGTTCTAAAAAACTTGACGAGTTCTTGCCCGCTGACGAATCAATGGTCCACTCGAGATTTCGCTAATTGTGCCCAAACTTTTCAATAAATTGCCATTGCCAGTAACGAATTGGCATGTGGAAATTTAATCAAGTATAATTATCCGACCAATTGCTGGCCGAACGAGAGAATGAAGCTTAAAATGACGGCTATTCGTAGAGTTCCTCGTTCGCTTTTTGCTCCGAAGAGGCTGATCTTCGGAGGCGACAACCTGGCAAATCAGTTCGGGACTGCGTAACATAAAACTTTTCATTCCAGCGTAATTACGCGCGCTCTCGTTCGAAACTCATTTCCCACGCGTTATATTTTCTCCGGAACTTCCAACTATCAAATATCGAGGGCTGGGATTATACAACGATTTGGAATGACGGGGCTCAGCGCTTCATATATATCTCGAGTCGACGGACCCGTTTAAAGTCGACGTTCCGTGAAATAGATCTTCGGGAAAAAAATTAAAAGGATGAAGAATTTAATCGATAACGCGCTGCCCCGTCATACGCTTGGTGCTGAATCCCTTTTTTCCCCTTTCTTTAACGTGCAAATTTGCGAAATGGAAAAATATCGCGCCAAAATGCACACCACGTCGTTACGTAAATTTTAATTAGCCTGACATTTACACAGCTTTGCCGGTACATGATTTGCCATTCCTTTTCCCGTGGTTAATTGTATTAAACAAAGATACTCCGGTTAAATAATATACGAGTATGGAGAAATGCTAGACACGCTGCATAGCTATGCTTTGTTT